GAAGTTACTCAACCAGTTGTGGAAGAGGTTGAAGCTGAAATCGAAGTTACTCAACCAGTTGTGGAAGAGGTTGAAGCTGAAATCGAAGTTACTCAACCAGTTGTGGAAGAGGTTGAAGCTGAAATCGAAGTCAGCAAACCTGACATCGAAGAAGTGGAAGCTGAAATCGAAGTAACCCAACCAGTAGTGGAAGAGGTTGAAGCTGAAATTGAAATGTCTGAACCGGTTGAAGAAGATACCGAAAGTGAAATGGAAGTTTCGAAGCCTGTCATTGAGGATATTGAAAGTGATTTTGAAGTAGGTGTGGAATCTGCTCTTGAGGATACAGCACAGGAGAAGAAAAAAGTGTTTGTGGAGGATGAAGTTGACGCGGACAAAGACATCGACGAAAGCGAAGTTTCTGTGTCGGTGGTGGAGAGCGCCGGGCCTGACCTATCAGACACCTCAGTTGCCATACCTGCGGGACCACAAGATACCACGACCTCGGAGTCTGTCTCCGACCTAGACACGCCTATCTCTGCTGACGTCATGCCTACTGACGCCTCTGTTCCTGAAGGGGCGGAGTCTGACTTCACAGTCACGCCCACCGTTCAGCCAACTGACGTGGAGGCGGAGTTTGGCCTGAGGGAAGACGACAAACCGACGAGAGAGGTGGAGGAGGTGGATGTTGAGGTAGAGGTGGGTCCCCATGTCATCGTATGGATACAAACTCAGACAGATCACAACACACCTAGACTCTCTCTCTATGTATTCATTACACTCTGCTGCCCATTTAAGAATGAGGTATGGTAATAGTGTTTTGTAGGTTTGAGTGGTAAGGAAGAGGTAGTTGATTTGCCACGCTTTTCCCTTTGAAAAAAAAATAAACCAACAATATTTAGCGACCTTCATTGTATAGTGACTATAAATATGTGTTAGCTTGCAGACGAATGTAGTCTCCCCTCTACGTGTGAGCCTGAACTCCAGGTAGATACTGCATTTTTTAAAAACTTTTGGTCTATCGTTTTGTTTCTCTTTTCCATAATATTATGTAGTTCTGTCGTGCTATTTATTTTATGTTAGTAGATCCTTTGTAGATAGCCGGAGAAACTCTAGAAGCATTCTTTTGTCATTTCCCTAGAACTGTCTGTTTTCAAAAGCTTTGTGATTTAGAACCTCAGCAGTAAATGCATTATGTTACTTCCCTGTTGTAGGTATGTATCTCCTGTGTACGATATGTCCCTAGCCTCTTTGTGAGCCCTCCCTGTTACTTTCCCCCGCCCACCGACTCCGTGTTGATTCGGCTGGTCTTTACCGTCTCAGTGAGAGTGCTCCCCGTCATGGTCTTCGGTTCTCGAAGACGTTTCCCCTAGTCCCCATTATCCATCGATGCGTGACCCCCCAAAACACTGTGTGTTATTCCCTTACGAAACAGTTGCTAAAACCAACCAACCCACCCCCCCCCCACCCCGTATACCCGCTTGTTGTTCCTGTAAGAAAAGGTAACACAAACAGAACCAAAGACCCTGTGGTCCTAGTTTGAAACACAATTCAATTTGTTACTTCATTTCTGTTCCCTTATCCCCCACTTTGCTCTCCATATACCAGGGTATTATCACTGACCTCCCACTGGGCTCATGGGGCTTACACTCCATTGTAGTAACTTTTCGCCATACGACTAACCCACTGTTGTATTTCTTCATATATCACTCACCTCACAGCCGCTTATTTCGCTCCATCTTGCTTTGAGCCAGGGTTGTGGGAGTGAGGCAGCAGCTTTATCTGACAAAGGCTTTCCTCGTGACATGGGCTTTTTCCTACACCCACGACACTGAAAGTTTTTGAGCAGATACGGCTGTTGCTTCACGCGTTTAAAACTCTCCAGCAATTTCTATCCATATATATTTTTTCCTCCATATACCTTTATGTCACATCTGAAAGTGGAAGATCTTGTGTCATTGTGATTCATAAAACGTTTCCTAGGAATGCTGTAGGGAGTGGCATTTGTTCAGTACTCTGCTTTCAAGAGTAGGTTTTGTTTGTAGAGTTTCGATTCCCATGTGTAGGAAACTTTTCTACTTTTGTTAGGTCTAGTAAGCTTTTATATTTAGCCTTCCTGAATCTTTCCAAAGATAAACTAAATGCAGGTTTTAATATCGAGCTCAGTTTATTTTTCACTCTTCTCAAACCCCCATCTCACCGTGCCAAGAATCCCATGTTGGTGTCAGAGTTTGGGTGTACAGACTTACTGTCATTCCAACCTACGATTTGAAAAAAAAAACTTTTTGAAAAATACATTTTCAAACGAACATGTTGAAACAAATAGATCTACCTAACCTCCAAGTCCTTATTACTACTCTCGGCGTCTGTTTTGCCACATGTCTCTGACGTCCACAGAAAGGTTTTCTTGTACAACATGTATTGTTAAAACAGCCTTTTCAATAAATCACAAGATCTCTCCTCTGTTCAGACGTGCCATGTTCAATATTGTAAACTTTCACCTTCACTTTTCCCACGAATCATCCAGCATTATCGTCTCTGTCGTCCTCACTCACCTCATTCTGTGGTCGTCATCGATGTTGTCAGACACCCAAGCACTTGGTGCACGGGTGATCAGCAGACAGGGATGTGGACGGAGCTGGACAAACGTTCAGTTTTCTTTTTATTTATCATTAGTTTACTCAAACTGAAACAAAGCCTTTTACATCCATGAAAGAGGTCTTTGTCTTTGTTGTGATTGCTATCATCGGTGGCCTTTGGCAGTAGCGTGATCAGTTTAATAAACTATGAAGAAATGTGCAGATTTTAAATCAAACAATCGAAGTTGATTGACTTTCAACTGTAGTTTACGGATATTATATTTTAACCGTCCACCTTTTTGCCTGCCTATGTCACCCGGAAGTGCTTTCACTTGTTCATTATGTTGCTTGATCACTTTGTGCCATCTCGAAAGAAGCAGAATTTATTTTTTTGCAGAAGCAACACACCCACACGTCCTTGCTCACACTCATACACTGAAACCACCGCGTGGTTTGTGAGCAAAAAAGTTCTTACACTTACAACTATGCTACCTGAGGCTTCATATTATGATTCTTTTCACATGTCATTCCTTTTGCACCGCTGGTCATGTTTGATAGGGTTGATTACCATGTTGTGAGTCTCATGTGTAAATTATACGATTAAAAAATTTTTATTTTTGTTTAAAATTTTGCTGTTGAATAGACCAACAATAGAGTTTGGTTTCCACAACACATGTCTCACACAATGTGCGCTGTGTCTCCATCCAGAAATCTGAGCCTGTTTCCGAAGAGGTCACTGTCGATGTGACCTTTGGCCCGCAGTTCATCAGTGAACTCAAGGATCAAGAGGTCAATGAAGGTGACACTGTGACCTTGGAGGTCACGGCCACTGGTGCTCCCCAACCAGACGTTAAATGGTGAGTGATTCAGCCTTACAATAACTCAGGCGTTTCAAGAAAATATTTTAGATATTGTTACTGTCCTAGTGTTCTCACTCACCCACTCGTTCTATCTCCTTCTTCCTCCACATCCCTCATCTTAAAGTAGACAGGATCCAGCAACTTGTCTTCTCGATATAAGAAGAAAAATCTCGGAGGTCCTGTGTGCACTTTGCGCATGCTAAAGATCCCTTGGTGGTTGACAATGGAAGAAGAGAAGAGTAGGCCGGTGTGCGCCTCACGGGTAAAATACAACATTTTGAAAATTCGTCCAAGGAAGAAAAATCTCTATCCAACTTGTTTCTAGTTCTGTTGTAAGGGGTCAGTTTCTGGAACTGTTGTAAGGGGTCAGTTTCTGGTTCTGTTGTAAGAGGTCAGTTTCTGGTTCTGTTGTAAGGGGTCAGTTTCTGGTTCTGTTGTAAGGGGTCAGTTTCTGGTTCTGTTGTAAGGGGTCAGTTTCTGGGTATGTTGTAAGGGGTCAGTTTCTGGAACTGTTGTAAGGGGTCAGTTTCTGGTTCTGTTGTAAGAGGTCAGTTTCTGGTTCTGTTGTAAGGGGTCAGTTTCTGGAACTGTTGTAAGAGGTCAGTTTCTAGTTCTGTTGTAAGGGGTCAGTTTCTGGAACTGTTGTAAGGGGTCAGTTTCTGGTTCTGTTGTAAGGGGTCAGTTTCTGGTTCTGTTGTAAGGGGTCAGTTTCTGGGTGTGTTGTAAGGGGCCAGTTTCTGGGTGTGTTGTAAGGGGTCAGTTTCTGGGTGTGTTGTAAGGGGTCAGTTTCTGGGTGTGTTGTAAGGGGTCAGTTTCTGGGTGTGTTGTAAGGGGTCAGTTTCTGGAACTGTTGTAAAGGGTCAGTTTCTGGGAGTGTTGTAAGGGGTCAGTTTCTGGGAGTGTTGTAAGGGGTCAGTTTTAGTTCTGTTGTAAGAGGTCAGTTTTTAGTTCTGTTGTAAGGGGTCAGTTTCTGGCACTGTTGTAAGTACATTAGTCAGTTTCCGTGTCGTCTGCTCAGGTTCCGCGACGAGGCAGAGATCTCGCCTGACGAGCGCCATGAGGTCAACGAAGTGGACACCACCTACTCGCTGACCATCCGTGACGTGACGGAGGAGGATGACGCGGAGTACACAGTGACGGCCACCAACGCAGTGGGCAGTGTGTCCACCACGGCGGAGGTGTTCGTTAATCCTGCTGGTCAGTGTGTGTGTGTGTGTGTGTATTTGTACATGTGTGTGTATGTGCCTGTGTGGGGTCATGTTTATTTTTATATTTGTGTTTATGTGTATAACTCAATGGCGTGAAATTCTTACCAAAACTTGATTTTAAAATCTTGAAATTCTTACTAAAACTAAATTTTAAAATCTCCCTGAAATTCTTTGTACAACTTGATTTTAAAATGTCCTTGAAATTCTTAATAAAAAATTTTTAAATCATTTTGACATTCTTACTAGATCTAAATCTTGATTTAAAATTCTTCTTGGAATTCTTACTAAAACAGAATAATTCTTATTGAAATTCTTAGTACAACTACTCTAAAAATCTTCTTAAAATTCTTCCTAAAATTCAACTGAGAAATGTTTTAATGTGTGCTCACGGTACCCTCCCACTCACCAGGAGAAGCGCCCAAGTTTGTGACCTCTCTCGTTGACGTCACTGTCGACTTCTCAGCACCCATCGTCCTTGAGGCCAAGGTCAAGGGCGAACCAAAGCCTGAGGTCACGTGGCTGTTCAACGGAAAGGAAATCATCGACACCCGATACAAGTGAGACATTATTTGTTTTGTGTCTTCAGAGAAGCCGAATATCCGGATAAATCAAAATACTGTTTAAGACGTGTAGCCAAAACTAAACTTTACAATTATATGGCCGCTTTTAAGGATAGGCGGGCTAACCCAAATTTCTGGGGTTTCCAGAAATCTTGACCTTAACCAATAGTGGGTATTGACTTACCTATAGGAGAAGTTTGGTTTCATTGGTGTGTATATTTGTTTGGTTATAGAGAAAACTATCCTTGTCTATTAAAGAAACTGAACAAGGGGTAAATACTTTACCTTCGATTTTCTCAAAACAGCGTTTTTCTGGATAGCCGTCTTGTGCTTAACAGCGACCATATTTGCTATCTCACTCCTGCTGGGGGTGGTTGGAGGGCGCCATTGTTAGGTCCTACATCTTTTCTTTCCCTCTGTTGCTTTTATCTATCCATCTTTTTCTTCCCTGCACTGTATGACCGTTATTGTATCGATGTGCTTCTCTTTACTCAAACTCACTGTGCCTACCACCTTTTAAATTATCTAAATTATGTCATTGGGAGCGCAAAACACCCGCATTTAAAAAAAAATCTTTCGTTGTTGCTGAAATTGTGTTTGTCTCTTCTGTATTTGTCCCTTTGCTCAAACGGTGTCTCCTTCTCTCCCCCCCCCCCCCCCCCTCCCGCAGTGCTACTGACTGAAGTTGTCTTTAGGCCGTTCCCAAAGAGGGGGGGGGGGTGACATTTTCTTATGCACAGTACAATTGTATGGTAAATGGGTTGATTTATTCATGTCATGCTTATACTGTTCCGCAATAACACAGGGGGAACTGCTGCCTGTTTCTTTCCTCATCCTTTACTTACTCTCATCATTTTTCCTATACTTCTTTTGTATGTTTGTCACTCTCTTGTGAACTGCTATTTCCGGGGTGCCTTGATAGTCGAAGCAGACTTTGTGCTGTTGAAGCTAGAGAAGTGAACAGAGTAAGTCTGATTCCCCGTGTGGACGTCTCTGTTGACATCCATCCCTTGGCGCTCATATGACCTTATGCAGTTGTGAGCGCCGTAAAACCTTAATAAAACGTTTTTTCCCTCCCAGAGTTGAGTACGTGGAGGACACTGTCCGCCTCACCATCGAGCGCTCAGAGTCCGTGGACGCCGGAGAATTCACCGTGACCTTGACCAACAAGCACGGCACGACCTCCAGCACCGCCAATGTCACGGTCACCATGGTGGCCCCGACCTTCACCCTGCCCCTGGCCGACACACGGGTCAAGGTCAGCGACACCGCTGACCTCCGCTGTGAGGTTACGGGTATTCCGAGACCCGAGGTCCAGTGGCTGGCTAATGACCAGCTCATCGAGGACTCCCCAAAGTACGAGACTGTCTACAAGGACACGGCTGCCATCCTCAGGGTCAAGGACGTGACCCCGGAAGACTCCGAGGTGACCTTCACCTGCAGAGCGAGCAACCCGGCAGGAGAGGCGACCACGTCTGCGAGACTCCTACCCCAAGGTTGGTGCTCCACTGCTAGGAGTGCAACGACCCAGCTAATAGATAACCCCTCCCCCTCCCGCACCCCCTTCCCCTCCTCCTCACCCTCCTCCTCCCCAGCCCATAACCCCTCTCCCTCCACCTCCACCTCCCCCTTCTCCACCTTCCCCTCCCCCACCCCCAGCGCTACCCCCACATTAACCCTCCATAACGTCATAACTCTGTGTGCAACTCTCGCGTCCCTTGCTGCTCTCTCCTCCCGGCCGCGCCCCTCTCATCAACCTCCTCCCTCCCACCCTCCTCCTCCTCCTCTCACCACCTCTCCCCCATGGCACAACAGCTCCCCCTGTCGGGACAAACGCCACCCCCCTCCTCTCTCCCCCCCTCTCATCCTGTGCACCAGTTGACATGAGACGACCACACGTGTCTCCATCGACCGGGCGACAGCTCAGAGCTGTCTCAGTTTCCTCCTGGTGCTCATTTCTTTTCTCGTCCTTTACTTCTTTCCTTCCCTGTAAATCTACACGTCTCCTGTTTAGATCAATAAAAGAGTAAATGTAAAAATCATAGACGTCAGATTTAGTAGAATGATATATCGACGGCCGAGCTGTTCACATTTACTTGGCCCCGAAAGCAAATTTTTTTCAGGAGAGGGAAAAAACATAACGAAACTTTCTGGAAAAAACACAACTAGATTCTTTTTTTTGCCAGTTATGCCTACATTATGTGCCTTTTCTTGCATTTATTTTTTTTTGGGGGGGGGGGGGGGGGGCAACATTCAAAAATTTAATTTCAACAAAATAATTAATTCTTGGGGACATGCAAGCAATCCCACAGATTAATTAGCTGAAGAGACTACCATGAAACAAAGGGTCAAACATTTGGGCTAAGTGCATCTAAACAGCTGGTTGGCGACATAAGAAAGCCAGAAATGTTGACTATGAACCCGACTGGACTTCTGCTCGGATATCTACAGAGGCTTCCAAATGCTGGAGTCTTGTGATTTGCAAATGTGGCCTCTCTCTTTTGTCCACTGTGTAGTCGACTCTCTCAAGAGCAAATTAAATGAAGTTTAGACTTAGATTTTTGCTTCATGAAAGCTGATCGATTTTACTGATTTTTTAACTTAATTCCTACTTCTTGAAATCAAAGATAGGTTAAACGTATGTTTTGTCAAAGTCATGCATCTACTTAGAGTTTTTCGTGTCATTTTCTCTCCATCTCTCTGTGTCACCATCACCCCCCCCCCCCCCCCCCTCCTCCAACACTAAAAACTCTCCCCCCCCCACCCTCCCCCTCCCCTCGCACCCTGGTTACTGACACTCACCCTGTAGCATGGCTGTGGGCATGTGTGTGTAGATGTATGATAATGTTTCATCAACCGTTGTTCCATACACTGGGACAATGATGACGGAGATTATATCCCTTCCTGTTTGCATGTCGTGGTGACCTCACGGAGATAATATCATAGCGAGTGAGACCTTCGGTGTAACCATTTGTATTAATTGTTATTTCATGAAAACTTTGTTGTAAATTGACAAGACAGAGATATGAAAAAGGATACTTAAAGCCTCGTAATTGGCTGGTTAGATGAATGATAATATCCACAAAGTATTACATGTTTGTTTTTAAGTGATACAGGGATACTTAGGTCTCTGTCTTAGCTTAAAACAAATAATGATATTATCCACTTTGTATTTCAAAGAGAGAGCGCTTTATTTTTGTAAACATGTTTTATACGTCAGCACTCAGTCTCCTCCCCATGACCAACCAGTGAAAAGTAAATCATATTTAAGATGGCACCGCTTTACCAAAAAAGAGATAATTAGATCGAGTCGAGTGACGGGCCGTGTGTAATTTTTTAAATTGTGTTATTTCATCGTGATTTGTCGTTGTGACTTGATCTACCACTGCACCTAGTGTGTGTTCTCATACTCTTGTACATTTCTCATCCCTGTATGCGACCTAAGGGGGTGTCTCTTTAATATCATCATTGCAGAAAATTGACTTTGTTTAATTTTTTAAAACACCGTGGGTCGGTTTTAGAGTTTTGTTTAAAATAAAAGTGTGCTGACTAATCGTAGAGCACTTTTAAACTTTTCTTAGATGCCACCTGCTTTGTCTAAAAGAAACAGAGAAAGAGGAAAAGAATTGTTTGGGTTTTTTTTGTTGTTTTTTTGGTTTGTTTTCTGTTGTTGGGTTTTTTAAGAACACATTTCTTTATCGAAGTAATTGTAATATTTTATAGCTATAAGCACGCGATATGTCTTCCTGTATCAGATTTGTAATTTTTGAAAAAGATATCTCGCTAGTTGTAGACTCCCAGAGGTAGAAGTAGCGATGTTTATTGTTGGCTAGAACTCATTATATCACTGGTGTGAAACTATTTCCATGGTTTGTTTGTGTACATTATTTGTGTTTTAATTACATTTTCTCTTCCATATGACTAATATTTCTTAATATAAAAATGTCACTTTTGACAGTTTGAAGCTTTTAGAAAATAATGAGGCATGTTGTACTGAGTAATTCGCACAGTCTGAATGCCTGGCTGGAATGGCTTCCATGTTGTCGAGTGTTTTGCTCAGCTGATTATCCTCTCGCAGATTCAGAAAGCATTTTCAATTTTGATTGTAAAAGTTGATTGAACAAAAGTGATTCATATGATATTAATTTACTATAACTTGTATGACTTTCTACTTTAAATTTTCCTGATAACATTCCATTGTGTATTCAAAGACATTCCACATTCTGTCTGTACAGGTGTTTTAGCAGACATTTTTATGCAATATTTTTCCATTATTTCCTCGCTTTTTTCTGCTTCGCTCTCGTAATATAATCGATGCGCAATAAAGCTGTTAGCATCCTTTGCGTTTTTTCAATGTCGTCTCTGTTTGTGTTTCTTTTTTCATAACACAGGTAGAATAATATACATAATATAACAGTGTGTGTGTGTGTGTGTGTTCACGTATAGCGACGGTTTACCCCCCCCCCCTCCACCCTCCTGACATAACCTCTGCCCACACTATAACGACTGGCATGTGAAACCTTCTCTGGTGCACCATTAACACACGGACCTTCCACTCTACCACACCTCTCTGATCTGTGTACCCATTGTAGTCTCATACGTTGTTCATGCAGCAGTGTCACAGAGATATTGTATCACAGAGATATTGTGTCACTGAGATATTGATACTCGTCTTTTCGGCTGAGGAGGTATCTCCTTCAGATACTATATTACGTGTCGTGACGTGGTGGTATCAGGCGCTCGTCAAGATTTTGGCATACATATTGGGTTATTGGTATCATCTTAAAGCTTGTTCATTTACTTTCCTTTTGGTTAAAAAAAAACAACTACCCATCTATCTTGAATAGAAGTAGAGATATTTGTGATTGAAGGAAGGAAGTCAGAGTCGCCTGGTTTCAAAGGTAAAATTAGTCAGAAGATGGCTGCCAAAGTTTGGTAACTTTCAAAGCCTGATACTCCTTGGAAACTGAACATTTTACAATTTTTTGTGCCTTTAATCAATGTTTTACAATAAGTTCCACTCGAAAATGTGTTTTTAAATGGATATAAACGGTTTTTACCCCAAAAAAGAATATCAGAAAAAAATTGCCCATCGCCCCCCCCCCCCCCCTCCCCCCCAAGAAAAAAAATGCTGATTTCTTTGAATTAATTATTTTGACGAGCGCCTGAGTTCACCACCCTGCCTCACATATACAAGTCTTTTTCTGTTTCATTTCTGCTCATAATCTGCTGGTCTTTAATGACTGACGTTACAATAAGATAAACAAACTTGATTGATCCACGAGGGACATCCAGTGAGTACATAAGACAGACAGGAGTGGCAGGAACCACGCCTTTGTCCAAAGATCTGACTAGGAAAGATTTGGCTATCGAGAGAAGAGGAAACTTGTTAGAAAAGACTGAGTGACTAAGCATGACATTATTTGCTCGCTTTTAGGGACGAGCGGGCTAACCCAGATTTCGGGGTTTTTTAAGAAATCTTGACCTACACCAAAAGTGGGCATTGCCCTGCCTATAGGAGAAGTTTGGTTTCATTGGTGTGTATATTTGTTTGTTTATAGAGAAAACTCTCCTTGTCTTTTAAAGAAACTGAACAAGGGTCTAAAAACTTAAACTTCGATTTTCTTTTTAAAAAAGCATTTTTAGGGATAGCCTCCTTGTGATAAAAAGCGACCATTTTCAACTCCACGTAGATGTGTGATTGGCTAGACAGTTAGCAGGCTGGCTCTGATACTTGTGTTCAAAAAGTCAGCAAAGTGACGCAAAATGCATGCTCAGACAAACGTCACAGCGAAATCTTGCACAGGATATCAATTTGCTACGGTTTTTTTATGTAAGAAATGATAAATGCTTCTTTATTAAGTCGCTCCTTTAACACTAGCTAGGGTATTCCTAATGAAGCCATTAACGCTTTAGAATCTTCGCTTGAATTTCATAACCTCCTCAAGCTGTAAAAAAAAAACCCAGAGCTTTTTATAAGAGCAAATGGACATATGACTCAATAATGCGAAGGTTGACAAATGTGAAATTAGCTGACTACATGAATTACTTCTTGGATTCGAGCTCTAGTGAAATATATATATACATCACATTTATAAGTTTTTAAAATACGTAAGTATGAAAAAATAACAGACATATTAACACTTTAAGAATATGGTCAAAAAGAGAAAATCTACAAATTTGACCCTAGTGTTGATTTTTTTCCCCCAATATCTCCATTTGTGGATCGTGAGAAGTAACTCATTTTGTCAGCACGGCTCACAAACGTTACGCCAAATAGTGCCTTTTCAACTGACACGGCTGCATGCATGTTTCTCCCAATGTCCTGCTTTGTACGTGAGTCAGTTTTGTACCGAACGTGCTCATCACATCTTCGTGACACAGCATGACTAACATGAAGGCTGTGCTCACGACTAACACACGTCTGGAGTTAAACGACATCGCAAAACTTTTATAGTTTGGAAACATTAAAATTTGTGACCTAGATGAATGTACCTTTGGAAGGCTACATTTTTACACGCATGGTGCCAACTCCAAATTATGCTCGATATTGTAAACCTTCAGGATTTGCATGCACGAGGTGGGAGCATGGTGTGGTGTGGGAGGGAAGCATGCCAGTTTGTCACAGGCCTCGACTGTGCCTTGCATGATGGAAGTTATCACTGACACTCTCAAAAAGAGTACATGAATTGAATGTTATTTATTTTCAATTGTTTTTAACGAAAGAACATTTATTGTTGAAATTTTACAGAGTAATTTGCTTCGATTTGCATACAAAAAGGAAGAAATATTGAACAACACAAGCTGAATTGACATTTTAGAGGGACTATCTCTACACCGCCAATTTGAAGGTTGAGAGTAAAAAAAAAATAAAGTTACAACTACAGTGTAGGAGAGGTAGGGCACGCAGGATCACAAACGGGGCCGGGGGGTAGAAGGACATTGTGTATGGTAGAATAGACGTGTATTTAAATGGGTGTCGAGCCAAAAAATGAAAAATCTGAAAATTTTTACCCACTGGCAAGAAAAAATGCCGGTTTCTTTGATTTTATTATTTTGACGAGCGCCTGATTTCGCCACGATACCTCACAATTGCCAACCTCATACTACAGCTTAATTAATATACTGCGCGAACACACACTAGACTAATTATGATATTTATTAATGCTAGCTTTACGCATATTTCATATACAATTTAAAAAATAATAGAATTGACACAGAAAAGTAGGTTTTGAAAACATCTGTCACAAACAAACAGTGTACAGCAATGATAACGCAGTACCCAAGACGGACAGTTCAGGCTTCGAACAATGGCCGATATTTTCAGCCTCTGATAAAGGCACGCCCCAAGTAGGAATGTGGCACGCAGGCAAAAAGTATACTATGATACTGTGTACCTTTGTACAGCTTATCTCTGATCTCAAACAAAGTAACCCCCCACCCTCCCGGTATGTTTCTTCTCTCTCTCTCTCTCTCTCTCTCTCTCTCTCTCTCTCTCTCTCTCTCTCTACCCCGCCTAGACGAGACATCGGAGGGAGAACATAAACTTTTACTCCAGGTCTACTGATGATAAGGATACGAATGATAATGATAACATCAACACCAATGAAAGTAAGTAAAATAATAATGATAATGATGATGATCAGAATACATGTTATAACAGTAATAACAATAATAATAATAATAATAATAATAATAATAATAATAAATAATAATAATAATAGATTAATAAAAATAATAATAATAGTAGAAATTACAAAAATATTATATTATTATAATAAAAAATTTTTAAGTAAAAAGAGTTTTAAAAAGTAAATAAATAATAATAATAATAATAATATTGATAATAATAATAATTATTATTATTATTATTATAATATTAAAAATAATATGTTATCATAATAAAAAAATTTAAAGTAAATATTATTAATAATAATAATAATAGTTATAATAATAATAATAATAATAATAATTTTTTTTTTTTAAATATATTATAATGAAATTTTAAAAGTAAAATACTACTACTACTACTACTGCTACTACTACTACTACTACTACTACTACTACTACTAATAATAATAATAATAATAATAATAATAATAACAATAATAATAATAATAATAATAATAATCTTAAAAATAATAAATTATTATAATAAAAATTGAAAAAGTAAAAAAAAATATTTTTTTATAAAATAAGAATAAAAATAAGAATAATTTTTTTAAAAATAATATGTTATTATAATATAATAATTTAAAAAGTAAAATAATAATGATAATAATAACGATAATAAGAATAATTATTATTATGAAAATAATAATAAAAATAATAATGATGATAATAATAATAACAATAATAATAACAATGATAACAATAATGATAATAATAACAATAATAATAACAATAATAACAATAATGATAATAATAATAATAATAACAATAATAATAATAATAATATGCTTACAATGTATATAGCATGTACTGCGTACTATGCAGTCCTAGGCGCTGTACAATACCTTCATCGGAAACAACGAATAAATGTTGCATGTTCTTGCACCCGTGCATGTTGCTTGAGAAGTTGTACCAGCTGCTGGAATTCTACCTTCCACCTGAGATTTCTGCTCCCTTTTTCACAATTGATCGCTTTTAAGGACAAGCGGGCTAACCCAGATTTCTGGAGTTTCCAGAAACATTGACCTACACCAAAAGTGGGCATTGCCCTACCTATGGGAGAAGTTTGGTTTCATTGGTGTGTATATTTGTTTGGTTATAGAGAAATCTCTCCTTGTCTTTAAAAGAGACTGAATAAGGATCCAAAAACTTTAACCTCGATTTTCTCAAAACAGCATTTTTTCAGGATAGCCCCCTTGTCCTTAAAAGCGACAAATTGTCGGCTGATATAAAGTCTGAAGACCACGTCCCATCTAGTTTCTCTAAACCTATGAAATAGATTTGTGCAACTGATAGGAAAGAAGAGTTTAAAAGAAAATACATTGGAAAGCAGATCTTTCAGCAAGCGTACTGCATATTCTTGGTAGATCTAATATAATATATTATAACGAAATCTCAGCAAACCCCGATAGCATGGAGGTATAAAGACTTCTTCCTTTCGACAGTTCCGGCTCGCATCCTCACAAAACCGGAAGCTGTGGCAGTGCTGGAAGGGGAGACAATCGAGGTGGTGATCACGATCGAAGGATCCCCGGAGCCGACCGCGGAGTGGTCAGTAAACGGTCACTTCGTGGTACAGGATGACCGTCACCACATCAGCGTCACATCCAACACCGTCACACTGACCATCCCGGCGTCACAGGTGACGGACACAGCCACCTACTCGCTGACCGTTACCAACGACGTGGGATCTGACACCACAACTGTCGACGTCACTGTCACCAGACGTGAGTCCCCCCCTCCCCCCCTTTTGTTCATGATGACTTTGTTTTGGTAATAATAAATAGCATTTGTAAGATGTACTGACAAAATGGAGATATCGGCTGAAAATCAAAACCTAGGTCAGATTTATAGATTTTCAATTGATACCATATTTTGGTTCAAGTTTACTGTGTCTTTTACTATTCCATGCTCACAAATTGCACAAACTTCTCCTATGAAGTTGATGTATCAATTTCCATACGGCTAAAATCCGAGAAGTAACTCATTGTCTCTGCTGTCCCCACCCAAAAGCAGGCTCTATGCGCTTTACACTATATTATTACCCCAGCAGACCATAGAACACTCAGAAACATTCTCAGCTTCCGGGGAAGCATACAGTAGAGGTTTTACGGCGCTCGCAACTACATAAGGTTATATCATAAGCGCCAGAAGATTAGAGGTGTTACAAGAGAGTAACAAACATAAAAAAGAAGAAGGGAAGACAAGGACGATAGATGTTTGATAGGAAAGAAGAAGCAAACCACACCAGAGCACCCGCCAACCACCCACGTTCATGATGACGGGTCGCTTACAGTGCCACACACTTCCCTCGTGTACGTCATGTATTTGTTGTGGGTGGTTGGCGGGTGCTCTGGTATAATGGCTTGCTCCTTCTTTCCTATCTAACATCTATCGTCTCTATCTCCCCTCCTTCTATTTTGTGTTTGTTGCTCTCTTGTGACACCTCTAATCTTCGGCACTTATATGACCTAATTGTGTATAAAGTGCCGTAAAACACCTACTTGATCTAAAACTAAAAGAACATGTCTAATCATCAGTAATTACTCTTCGCGTGTTTGTTTCAGTCCCTGTGAATTCGTATGTTTGTGTGAGAGTTATTTTGTTTGCTCGGTTTGGGGAGGGTTTTTTTAAGGGGGGGGGGGTATGGTGTATGTAGGTGTGTGTACGCACACGAGTGCTCGCGTGCATACGCCTGTGTTCGTTTTTATATGTGTGGTGTGCTTGTGTGTCTGTATGTGTGGTGTACTTGTGTGTTTGTGTGTGTGTGTGTATGTGTGTATGTGTGTGTGTGTTTGTGTGTTTGTGTGTGCGTGTGCGTATGTGTGTTTACGTGTGTCTAATAAACACATCCACGGTATACAAATACATAAACATGTTTGATAAAGAAATGAATGCACAAGGAGCAATAATCTACTTATCAGCACAAACCCTACATACGCGCAATTTTATGGATTTTTTACACCACAGTGTGCGTGGGTGTTTGTGTAGGTGGGTGTG